CTCATGCTCTTATCCTCTATCACTTCCTCCACTACTCATTAGATCTAAACGTTGCTTTTTTCACTATTCCCCTACATCCTTCCTCACAGGCTCTCTTTGCCTACTCTGGGACAGACCCTGACGTGCATTAGTCCCAACAGCTGACTTTGACTGCCTAGCCTCAGGGCTTCTGGAATAGTCCCCACTATTTTGGGCAGGCACTTGTATGTGTTTTAAGTGACTTACTCTCCTTCCATCCTTCCTCCTCTCATCTTATACAATATGTAGATGACCTTCTCCTCTGCAGCCCCTCCTAGGAGTCAACCCATAAAGACACACTTTTACTGTTACAGCATCTAGACTCCAAGGCATAGTGCATCTCCCCTTCTAAGGCCCAAATCTCTTTCTCATCTCTCACCTATCTAGGTATCATTCTCTCAGAAACATACCTTCAGAACACATCCAGTTAATCTCTAGGACTCCAGTTCCTACTACCAGACAACAGTTCCTTTCTTTTCTTGGCATACTAGGATATTTCCACGTCTGGGTTCTCAGATTTGCTCTCCTCATCAAACTGCTCCAGAAACTTACAAAGCGATACTCTGCTGAGCCCTTAGATCACAAAACCTTCCCTGGCTCATCTTTTCATACCTCAGAAGAGGCCCTCAACACAGGCCCCAACTTTAGCCATCCCAGACCTTACCCAACCCTTCAGCATTCATACAATAGAATACAAGCGATGTGCAGCAGGGGTTTTGACACAAGGTCCCAGCCCAGGTCCAATCACATTTCTGTCAGAGCAGATTGACCCTATTGTCACAGGCTGCTGGCTGTTACTCCTAGAAACATTCAAAATCACGAGACACGACCCACTCACACTTTACTCTTCCCACAACCTTCAGGAACTCATGTCTTCATCCCACCTCTCAGTTTCTGTCCACCCCTCACCTTATTGAACACTAGGTGCTTTTCATGGAGACTCCCATGGTTACAATTGCCATGGGCCCCAATTTTATTCCAGCCACTCACTTTATCAACCCACCGCCCCTTTAAAAAAATGCCTGAACCATACAATTGCATGTCTTTGATATACCCAGCAACCCCTCCTCTTCCTCACATTTCAACCTTCTTCCTTCCCAACTCTAACCACACTTGGTTTATCGAGAAGGGTTCATACAAGCCTACCTCCAAATCCTCTGCCAGGGCAGAATACACTATTGTCTCCCAAGACTCTATTATAGAAGCTGCAGCTCTTCCCCCATCCACAATCTCTGAATAGGTCGAACTAACTTCTCCGACCTGTGTTCTTACAGTAGCTAAGGGCTTGCAAGTTAACACTGATACAGATTCAAAGCATTCATTTCATATATCATATAACATGCTTCCATCCGGGAAGAAAGGGTTCCTCACTTCCCAAGGGTCTTTAATCAATGCCCCATTCAGAAAAGCCCTTCTTCAGGCTGCTCTCCTACCAACATGGGCAGCTGTACTTCACTGCAGGGGACCCCAGAGACTTTCAGAACCCAGGGCTGCTGGGAAGATAAAACAACAAAGGAAGCTGCTAATCCCTCCCTCCACACCCCCAAGGGTCAATATTTTTCCCTTTCAACTTTCACTCTGGCATACTCCTCTCCCAAGCACCAACATTATCAGGACCTCCCTACCAAAGATGGATGGTTCCTAAGCTAGAGAAAATGTCTCCTCCCTGCCTCATAGGCCCACTCCATTCTTTCGTCACTTTGTGACAATGTTTATGAATGCTACAAACCCCAAGCCCATCTGCTTGAGCCTCTCATCTGCTTTCCCTCCTGGAAAACCCTTCTCAAAACTATCACCTATCGGGATCCCAACAATGAATGTAACTGTGCTGTATCCCTAAAATGTACCAATAAACTCAATTAAAGCTGAAAAAAAAAACTATCACCTATCAATGTTCTGTTTGCCAGGTAACCGTGTCTCAGGGCTCTCCGAGGTCCCCTCCTTTCCCTACATATCAAGCGTGAGGTTATTCCCCAACTCAAGACTGGCAAACTGATTTCACTCACAAGCCACAAGTACATAAGTAAGACATCTCCTGCCCTGGCTTGTTATATTCACAGGGTAGATAGAGGCCTTTTCCACATGCTTAGAAAAAGCCTCTGCAGTTGTTAACTCTTTCCTAGCTGATACCAACCCCTGGTTTGGACTTCCTACCTCTATTCAATCAGGCAGTGGCCCAGCTTTCATTAGTCAAATTACCCCAGGAAGTAACCAAGTCACTGGGTATGCAATGGAATCTACGTCCTCCTTATTGGCCTCAGTCATCCAGGAAGGTAGAACAGGCTAATAGCCTTCTTAAGGCCCACATTTCCAGGCTCACACTTCAACTCTGCAAGGATTGGCTTACCCTGCTTCCCACTGCTCTCCTTCACAACAAAGTCATGCCCAGAGAACTTACAGTCTTTAGTCCATCTGAACTTTTATATGGCCATACCTTTTTACTTGGGTCACACCTCAGCCAAGAACCTAACCCCATTGGAGACTATCTGCCTACACTACAACAGGTCTGGAAAGACATACAATGCACTGCTAACCTTCTCTTGCTTTTTCCTGACACCCAGGTTCTTGAGGATGGACTGTCTAATGAATGGATTTTAATAAAAGACTTAAATCCTCGGTCACTACAGCCTAAATATAGAGGACCCTTCCTAGTTGTGTACAGCACTCTGATGACTGTCTCCAGATTCTTCCTCCATGGAGTCATCAATCTAGGGTAAATCTGTGCCCTGCTGACCACTTGCATGATCCCTCCATGTGGAAATTGCAAGTGATCTCCCCTACTTCCATTAGGCTGAGCCAAATTGCAGAAGATGCATACATGCCTTGCTTTTGTGAATCTTGTCATTTTATTCACTTTCTTTGTAGAGTCTGCTTTGACTCATTTGGTTTCACCCTCAAACTTCTACCCCAGAGTCATATCTTATGTGGCTAGATGATCTCTTTTACCAAGGCACTCTGTGTGACTTCTCCCCAGAAGAGATCAAGTTTGTTCCTTCTTGCCTGCCTTCTTTCTGTTCAGTGATTGATATGGAGAATCTTAAACATCCTCTGTTTAAAATTCCAACTCAACTATTTTGCCTCAGGGATGGAAACACTTAGGTTTACACTTGTTATCTTTGCCTGAGATAAACATCTCCTTTCCTCCTCCCTGAGCCCTTTGACCCAGTTAGCCTTCCTCTTCTTTCTCTTGTCATGCCCTTCAGTTGCCTCCCAGCCTATCCCCCCCCCCAGTATTGGGAGCATTTCTACATAAATTTTGGGGAAAAATCATTTCATAATTAAAGTATGACTATAGCTGTCTAAGGCTCAATGTCACCTTGCCTGTGAGCTGGCTATAGCATATGGAAACAACTCCATTTTGCCTCGGGTCACAGCTGAGGCCCTAAGGGTCCTGTGATGCTGTGGCACTCAACAGTAAGACTGCATCAGCTGAGGACATCTTGGTTCTTTTTAGTAATACAGAAAGAAAAAGTTGTCAGCCGGGGAAAGACTAATTCCCTGTCAAACTTAACTCAACCATTGTCTTCCTCAACAGAAGAACCTCATGACTTAAAATCTTCATCAGCTCCTCATGTACCTTGACCACCACCCTCTAAGCACCTTGATGCTCCGTCCAATTATTGTATGTACCCAATAAATAGTGGCTAGCTCATAGAGTCTTTGCCCACTCTGAAGTGCTGACCTACCCCCCTCCCCATGTATTTTGAAATTATGCAAGTCTCTATGGTCTTTTTTCTCTTTACCCCTCATCAACCCCCTTTCTAAGTACAGGACTGAGCGCCCTCCTATATCCCAGTTCCCAATATCTCTACAAAACACTGCAGTTAATTCATTCCCTGTTGAACTGGTATACTTTGTCCTTAGTCAAAGGCTGCTGGCTCTGTATTTCCATATCTACAGCCGCCTATGCAGATCACCTTTTAAAACCAGACAGACTCCCTGGCAGCAGTAGCTTTAAAGAACTGACCAGGCTTGTTCTAACTGATGAGAAATGTGGACTTTGCATCTTTCTAGGGAAAGAATGTTGTTTTTATTCCAAACAGTCAAGCATAGTATGGGATGCAACTAAGAGACTAACACAAAAGGCCTTAGAAATTAGATAACACTTGTCTGACTCATGGACTAATATTTGGGGCTGGGCTACATGACTTCTTCCATTAACTGGACTCTTCTCTGTATCCGTCTCCTGCTTCTCTTTGGGTCATGCTTCCTCAGATTCCTTTCACAATTCTTTGTTGTTGTTGTTGTTGTTGTTCTTGTTGTTGTTGCCTTTTCAGACAGGGTCTCACTATGTAGTTGAGACTGACCTGGAACTCACTATGTAGCCCAGGCTGGTCTCGAACTCACAGCGATCCTCCTGCTCAGCCTCCCGAGTGCTGGGATTACAGGCATGAGCCACCACGCCAAGCTATGTTCTTTCACAATTCTTATAGGACCTTGTATAAGCAACAGATATTGGCCCTGGACACTCCTGATATGCTCCCATTTCCCAAGATTTTTCTCTCATCTAGGCTGCCTGCACTGACCATTTGTTACACATAAAGCAACCATGAGAAGCTCTGCTCACTCCCCCACCCACCATATATAACAACAAAAAGACAGAAATGCCATGCCTGGTCTGAATGAGACCTTCACAAACAAACACGTCACTCTCAGGAAACAACAGGCTCGTCTTGTTAAACAGGACACACTGCCAAATTAAAAATTGGAATAGAATATTCAATTTCTTCAGCACTGATTACTCCAGTGATTGTCTATACACCTAGGCTGACTGTTCGTGTACTCGCAGTTATAAACATTCCCTATTATCATAGCCCCTTCCCAAAAACCTATATAAATATTGTTTTCTCTCCCACCAGCTGCTGAAATCTACTCTGGATTTCAGTCTCTCTTCACAGGAATAAAGCTTTTTTCACAATGCCTGTCTCCAAGTGGCCTCACACACGCCATTTATAACACCTACCCAGACAGTGGATATTTACCTTTGTATCTTTAGAGCTGGATGAACTCTTTGGGAGCTCTGGCCTCATCATTAGTGTAGAATGAGCCACAGCTTCTCTTAGCATCATGGCTTCTGCTAGAAACTCACTGATTTCCATGCTATTTTTGAAGCTCTTCTAAAAGCAGATCTGTTCAAAATAATAAATAAAATTCACCTTAGCCAACCTTATCAAAAAATGCAAGAAAAAACTCAAATCCATGCAATTAGGAGTTAAAAGGGTGAAATTACAACAGATCCAGCAGAGATCCAGAGGATCATCAATACTTACTTTGTCAACCTGTACTCCAAAAAGATAGAAAACACAGAAGAAACGAACAGATTCCTAGATACATATGACTGCTGAATTCTATAAGAAATGTAGAGAAGAGCTAATGACACCACTTTCAAACTCTTTAATAAAATCAAAAGGGAAGGGCAGGGGATTTAGCTCAGCGGTTTGGTGGCCTGCCTTGCAAGTGCAAAGACCCGAGTTCAATCCCCGGTACAAAAAAAAAAAAAAAATAAAAAAAAAAAAAAAAAAAAAAATCAGAAGGGAAGCTATACTCCCACACTCATTCCTGGAAGCAAGATTTTATCTTGATAACAAAAGCAGAGAAAGACCTAACCAAAAAGAAAAGAACTACAGGCCAAACTCTCCTAATGAACATAGATGCAAAAGTCCTCAATAGGATACTGGCAAACAGAATGCAGAAGATCATCAGGATGATCAGACACCCTAAAAAAGTGGGGTTCATCCCAGAGATGGAAAAATGGCTCAACATATATAAATTGATAAATGCAACACACTACATTAACACAGTGAAGGACAAAAAACATATGATCATCTCAATAGATGCAGAAAAAGCATTTGACAAAATCTAATATCTATTTGTGATAAAACCCAAATGAACCTGATAAAAGCCAGCTATGAAAAACCAACAGCCAACATCATACTAAAAGGTCAGAAACTGAAGTCTTTCGTGCTAAAATCAGGAAGAAGATAACTATCACTACTCCTGTTAAATATAGTCCTGGAAACATTAGCCACAGTAATTAAACAAGAGAAAGAAATAACTGGAATTAAGATAGGACATGAAGAAGTTAAACTGTCATATTTGCAGATTATATGATGCTATATATAGAAGACCCCAAGAACTCCACCGAAAGACTTTTAGACTTAATAACCTAATTCAGTTGAGAAGCTGGATACAAGGCCAACATTCAAAAATCAATAGCATTCTTGTACATGAATAACAGAGAGAAACTGAGGGAAACACTTCTCTTCACAATAGCATCCAATAAAATGAAATACCTAGGAATCAATCTAACGAAGGAATTAAAACACCTCTACTCTGAAAACCACAGTACTCTGAAAAAAGAGATCAAAGAGGATATCAGAAAATGGAAAAACATCCCTTGCTCTTGGGTTGGAAGAACCAATATAGTGAAAATCGCCATACTTCCAAAACTACTACACAGATACAACACAATTTCGATTGAAATTCCAACAGCATATTTCACAGAACTACAGACAAAAAAAACGCAAAAATTCATTTGGAACAAGAAGCTACCTAGATAGCAAAAGCAATTCTAGGCAACAAAGACAAGGCAAAGGGTATCACAATCCCCAACTTGAAATACTACAAAGCTACTATAAAAAAACACCATGTTACCAGCAAAGAAACAGACCTGAGAATCAATGGAACAGATTAGAAGATGGAGAAACAACTCCAGACACACTCAGCCACCTCATCTTTGACAAAGGAGCCAAACCTCCTCACTGGAGGAAAGATAGCCTCTTTAATAAATGGCGCTGCAAAAACTGGGTTTCAACACATGTCAAAGATTAAAACTAGACCCACATATTTACCATGCACTAAACTAAAATTGAAATGGGTCAAAGATCTAAATATTAAAACAGAAACACTAAACCTGCTGGAATATAGGTTAGGTAGAACTCTTGAAGACATTAGCATAGGAAAAGACTATGAAAAAAACCTCAGACTTAGTAGGTTAACTAGCACAAAGAATCAAACAGTCTTATTAAAAAGTTGTTGCACTGCAAGAGAAACCACCAACAGAGTGAAGAGACAGCCCACAATCTGCGAAAAAAATTTACCAGCTGTTCCTCAAAGGACTACTATCTAGACTATATAAAGAACCTTTTAAAAATTAGACCCCCCGCCAAATTGAAAGACCCAATTCAAAAATGGGCATCTGAAATGAACAGACAGTTCGCAGATGAAGAAGCAGAAGCTGCAAATAAACACATGAAAAAATGTTCAACATCACTGGTCATTCAAGAGATGCAAATGAAAACACTGTGGTTCCATCCCACTCCAGAAAGAATGGCTGCTATGAAGAAATCAATCAAAAATAAATGCTGGAGGGGCTGTTGGGGGAAAATGATCCCTTGTCTACTGTTGGTGGGAGTGCAGAATGGTGCAACCACTGTGGAAATGAATGTGGATGTTCCTCAGAAAATTAGGATTCTAGGTCCCATTTGACCCAGCTATTCTCCTTCTGGGACTATTCCCAGAAAGAGTTGAAAGCATCATACCACAGTGAAATGTGCACACCCATGTTTATAGCGGCACAGTTTGTAACAGCTAAACCTTGGAAACAGCTCCAAAATCCATAAACAGGATTGGATAAAGATTTTTTTATAGAATGGAGTACTACTCAACAATAAAGAAAGGTAAACTGGAGACATTTACAGATAAATGGATGCACCCTGAGGCCATACTCTTAAGTGAAATAAATAAGACATACGTGTGTAAGTACTGAATTATTTCTCTGGTGTGAGAAACTGAAAGTGTAAATGAGGTCCAAGATGTATAGTAGATATTAGGAAATAGGAAGAAAGGTGTTTAAAGAGGAAGGGGAACTGGGGAGGGGGATGTAAGGAAAAGGAAAGAAGGGAAAGAAAAAAAGAAAAGAAAAGAAGGAAAAAATGGAAACAAAGCTAACATATATAGGGAGGGGTAGAGGGGTTGAAGGGAAGGAAGGGGAAGGGGAAAAAGAAGAACCAAGCTATATCACGTACAGGTACAAATTCACAATGATGAATGTGATCATAATTCACACCTAAAATGAACCAAAAAATTTAATTTTAAAAATTAATACTGTGGGAATAAAAAGCAAAGCTAGATGGACGTTGCTAATAGGGAGTGTAAGTGTTCTCTCCAAATTCTTTTCTAGACTCTCTATACTCAGAAAAATCAGAATACACTGATGAGAACAGGAGTATGGTTCCAAGTCTGCACATCTAGTGGGACTGGTATGGAGTCCATGGAATGCTACAGCAGCACTGCCCAATCCTGTATTGTTCTCTGCTTGGCTACCATGAGCACTTTCAGTGCACCCAGGAGTTGAACTTTTACCTTTCTTTAAGTTCTAATTGACCATAAGAGGTTAGTGGCTAATGCTTAGGAAAACACTATTCTAGAGAGTGCAGGATGGGTGTGGACATGTACTCAGTTGGAAAGCTCGATGTAAAGTTTGACGTGCATGGTACTCTTTGGTGAAGTGATTCCATAGCTTTAGGAAGAGTCTCGTTAATTAAGGTCAATGAGTGTGCCTTCTTGTGAGGGCTGCTGTGACTTCTTTTTCATACGTGCCTTCTTTGATTTACGTGGCTCTCCCCTACTGATCTGAGAGAGAAACAAACTGGCATATAAGACCTTGCATTGCAATTATATGGTAAATGGCTGGAAGGTGCCATTCAGGATCCTGTGCTGCATGAGGATGACAATGATTTTGAGGACTGCCACCATTTCAAGTTCTGGCTCACTGAAGCAGCCTGTCATCAGAAAGTCTGCAGCAGACTGTAGTTTGCTGTCAGTGGCTAAAACTAAAGATGCATTCTATGGAAAAATTCCTGGAGCTGCTCTTCCTGGAACAATACCCGCTAGTCTGCCCATGGACACAGCTGCAAGGGTGCACATATGGCCCAGAGAGGAGAAAGAGACTCGTTGCCCTGACAAAAGAATTAAAAGACATTGTCAAATATTAGGGCACCACATGAGAAAAGAGGATGGGATCTCTGTTACGGAACCAAAATCAGCAGTGAGATACCTAGCCCAGACCAGTTATTTTCTCTTTGGTTCATAAGGAAGGCATACATTTCTTAACTGTTTTTTCCTTTTTCCCCCCTTCATTCTGTAACCTCTATCTTAGTGGTTCTCAAACCTGTCTGATTCTTTACCTTCTGTCACACATATATCATAATGTAAGCTTCCTTATTGTTAAAGGACATTGAGATATAGCAGGAAGTGTCTACATACATGAACCAAAATCATAAACATTTTACACATGGGCCTAAGGCCATTTCTGGCCACAAGTTGTATGAATGGCCCCAGTGAGTGCATAATATTTTGGAACTCCTTAAACATTAGCTTAAAGAAACAAGGAGAAGTGCCAGCAAATGTGGCCCACAAGGTTTAAAATATTCACTCTCTGAGTAGTATTCCATTTTATAGAAAAACCACATCTTCTTTATCCAGTTTCCAACTGATGGGCAAATGGACTATTTCCAAGTTTTAGCTATTATAAACTGTGCTGCTATAAACGTAGGTGTACATATATCTCCGTGATATGATTCTTTTAATTCTTTTGGAAAGATACACAGCAGAGGGATGGCTGGGTCGAATGGAACCTCTAGTCCTAGTTCTTTGAGGTATCTCCATATTGATTTCCACAGTGGTTGTACCAGTCTGCACTATCACCAACAATGGAGAAGGGCTCCTTTCTCCGCACAACCACGTCAAAGTTTATTGTTTGATTTTTTGAGAGCAGGCATTCTTTGTGGGGTGAGGTGGAATCTCAGTGTTGTTTTTTTTTGTACCGGGGATTGAACTCGGGTCCTTGCGCTTGCAAGGCAGGCCACCCAACCGATGAGCTAAATCCCCAGCCCACTCAGTGTTGTTTTCATCTGCATCTCTCAAATGGCCAGTGATGTGGAACATTTTTTCATATATTTACTTGCTGCTTTTACTTCGTCTGAGAAATGTCTGTTCATTTCAGATGCCTACATTTGAATCGGGTCTTTCTATTTGGGGGGGGGCTGATTGTATTGAGTTCTCTATATATTCTAGATAATAGTCCTTTCTCTGAGGAGCAGCTGGTAAAAATTTTTTCCCACATTGT